TGGAGTCCACCAAGCTGTGGCTGTTCCTTTTGTTTCTCTCTGGGCCCCAGCAAGATGGTCTTAACCAAATACTGCAAACATTTGTTTTGAAATTGTAATTTTGAAGCAGCATCTCCCTGTCAGAACTGTTACCAATCTGTTTCTGTTTTGTTCTTGAACCATACAGCTCATTCAGACAGTGAGTGCAGTAGACCAGGATGACCCGCAGGAGGGTCAGCACTTCTACTACAGCTTGGCTCCTGAGGCAGCTAACAACCCCAACTTTACTCTAAGGGACAATCAAGGTAATCAGAGTGGACACAGTCAGTTAGTTACAGTAATTTCTCCTGCACAAGTTGGACTTCAGAGGTTTTGACTTGCATTGCGTGGTGAGACTGCCACTGCATATAACGCCAGCCGACACCTGCTCCTTAAAGGCAGTGATAAAATGACAGATTAATTCATACAGTTGAGGGTTACACAGTATTTACTGCTATACAAATATTTCCCAGCTATAGGCTTTTGTCTTTGAGGAAATGAGTTGGTGTAAGCAAATTCCTATCTTGCAGTAACACTGTAGGCATCTACAGTTACAAGAGTGGGGCTTACTGTTCGTTCAGAAAGAGATGCTTAGAGGTAAAATAGAAATTTGGACTTAGGAGGCAAATCCAAGTAGAATTATATCACTGTTTTTATACCTTCACATTTTCTTCTAGACAGGAAGTCAGCAGAGGTATTGTTTCAAACATCTCCTCTCTTTTCTTAAAGCTCGTCCCATTTCTTCTTTATACTTGTCTACTTATTGCTTATGAAAAAAGAACAGGCTTTGAGAGCTGTGGGGAGAAACTTGGCAGGAAGGTAAGATGCTGTCTAAGATGCACTGAACAGAAATAGAAAAGCCACAAAGGAATACCCAGAAAAGGAAACAGTAGTAAGTGAAAAAACACATGGCCAAGAGCACAGAGATAATCAATCCTGTTTTCAAATAACAGCTGCTCAGTGCAAAGGGGTGAATCAAAGTGGAAAACCATTTTGACTGGGACTGATCTTGTTCACAACTAGGGATATAAATAAGGCTCATGGAAAAAAGGGGATTTTTTTTAAATCAGAGAAAACCAGGATCCCTGGTTATCAGGTTGTGTAAATGACCATTAACTCCACTGCAGTCAATGGGACTTGTGCAAGCTCATACCAGCTGTGGCTCCATCCTCAGTTGTACACAGGACTGTCCCTAGGAGAGGGGCAAATCGGGGCAACTACCCCGGGCCCTGCGCACTGGGGGGCCCCGCTGGGCAGAGTGGCTATGACAGCTCCGCGCCACTGCCACTTGCTTTGCGTCCAGCTACTCGCTACCCCTCCCACCCCACTGCCGATGGCAGCAGTGGCTATTTTGGGTCCAGGGCACGTGGGATCGGAGTGGGGGCGTGGCCCCGCATGGGCTGATTTGCCCCGGGCCCCGCACCCTGCTCGGGTTGGCTCTGGTTGTGCACTCTCACTATTTGTACCCAAGAGCCATTTAGAATGTTGGTTACAGTCTTCAAGATCCTCAAACATCTGGATTGATCAAGCTGGTAACGAGAGCCAGCCCCATTGCAGCAGTTAGTTAGATGCTGCAGTTTTTGGAAAAGAACTTCCCGGGACTTGTGGCAGAACACTGGTATTTAGAACACCCTAATCTGTGGAATTTGCTTTCTGTTAGGGTACACCACTGTTTACTTTAGGATTGGTGGTCAAAACATGGAAGACACCACAGTTGTAGACTACAGAAAAGATCTCTCAGCAGACAAATAATGGAGTGAAGTCAGACTCTATCAGGTTTCAATGGGAAACAGAGAAGGCCTTTAAACAGCTACCATGCTTATATGCAACTGCTCCACAAATGGGAATTTAGCTCATGTTGGCCTGGATTTGTATGGGATTTTTTTTTGTATAATATGTAAGGTGCCACAAATGAGCAAGGGTAAATTGGAGACTGTTAAAATAAGTAAGGGTAAAGACACCTGCAATATTTTTAACCAATGTCCAGCTATGTGACATGCATGCATAAGGGAGCTTCTGTCATCTTTAACAAATAGGCAATATGTGAAGATTGCAAGGTAGCCTTTCCTGGCAGAAAGCCATTGCTCTCTCCACCCATAATGTTTATTTGCACATGGCCCCTAAAGTTAATCTATTCAATATTCTTTGACCTTGTCTTTCTTTCTTTCTTTGAGGGCATCATTTGCCAATAAAATTGACAGCAACCATCACTATAACGTTTGGTAAACTAGGCTCATTTCAGCCTCATGGCATTGTTCTAAAAAAAAGGAAACGCATAAAAATTCTCAACGTCAGATGTACTTTTTCTGTCTAAGGCCATTCTTTGTATAAAGTGTAGTGCTACAGCAGCGATGGGATTACTCTGCCTTCTGTGCTCTGTCATGTACCAGGTTTTCAGATCCATCCATGTAAGCAAATCTAGTAATATTACTTGTTACAAATTCATAATGTACATATTAAATACCAAACCACAAAAATTTGCTACTACCACAATATGGAGTTCAGCAGCACAGATGCTCCACAGGGTCCCCTCCACAGCCCCCACCCACTTAAATGAAAGACCTTATATTTTTGTCTGGGGACCTCAAAGGCATTTACAGATTATGAGAATGAAAAATAGCATATGTCTCTCTAAAGTCGCAATATGGCAAAACTAGGATCAGAACCCAGAGTCACATTGATGTGTACTAGCCATTAGACAAATACCACACAATTTGGAGGAAGAGAATAACCTAGTCAAATTAGTTGTGGGTCTGATTACATTGTTAGCCAATGCAAGGATTAAGAGTAATTAGAGCTGCAGAACTCTAGCAACAATTACAACTGGCTTATTACATAGCTCTTCAGACTGCAGACCCCAGGCATCTATACATATGCTCTGGGGTGGGGAAAGGGGGGAACTTTAATTAGAGCGGCTCTGCGAACTGCTCTAATTAACGTGCTTGCAGCATAACACGTATTCAGCATCCTGCACTTCAAAATGGTGGTGGGGGCACTTTCACTAAAGCTTGTCAAATGAGCTTTAGTTAAAGCACCCCCACCATCATTTTGAAACATGGGGACACTGAATACACAAGGCGGAGGCTGCTGGAGTGCGTTAATTAGCACGCTCCAGCAGACTCGCAGCAGACTCGATTAATCGAATCTGCTCCAGGATGTGCTGATTAGCACATGTTGGAACACAGCTCCGTCACGTGTATAGTACCCCTCCCCTTTCTATCAAGCATGCTGAAATGGACCCATCACTACTTCTACAGGAGACAAAAGACGTTATTTTTTTTTATTTTTTTGCCATCAGGACAGGAGGAACTGCAGCCTAATAGATAGTTTCCTGAATTAACAAGGCAGCTTTGAATATGGTCTTCTCCTGACTCTATGCTCTTTGAATTCCAGCTTTTAGTTATTAAAACTAAGAAACAAAAGTAAATAGGTACAAGTACCAGTTTCAGACCAGTATGTGGGTTTTCATCACCAGTTATAAAAAAAGGCCCCTCTATATTTTAAGGTGCCTCTGTGACTGGCAGGCTGTTAAAGATCCCTTTTCTTAAATCAGAGTGTATCTCTGTTTGATGTGACAGAGATAAAAGCTGAAAAAAATGTCTTCCCCAAAACTGACTGCCTCTTTCTTTGTCAACTCTGGCCACCTCCTTGTGCTTTCTCTCCCCATTTCTGGTAAGTTTAGTTTTTATTACCTATAATAATTGTAGTTGTAAAAAGCCAAGACAAATTCTGGGATAAAGTATCCCTTGTCATGAGTAAGAAGCACAGTGAGGTAGAGGTAGCTTTTGCCACATTAGGAGCTACTGGTGCTTCTGTTCTGTGACTTTGGGAGTACAGCATGACTGTTCTGTCCCACTGCCCTTCCCGAAGTAAATCTCTTTTCATTGTACACAATCTAGCAGAAAGAAAGCAACACATGCAGTTCTTACTCTCACATGCACTTGCACAAAGACACAAACACATGCACTTTGATCCTTTGTGCCACACTGAGTGAGATACATCTCAAAGGATGGTATATCTTCTGTGCTCCTTCTGATCATTCAGGGGCTGGCAATGAATGTACAGTTTCATACCCTGCATTGCAACACACTTGTTTCCACTTGGTGCTGTATATAAATACTGCAGGCTAGACCTCTGTGATGTGAAGAAACTGCATTTGATTCTCGCAAGGTTGTGATGTAAATCCTAGTTGTGTTTTCTTACCATCCATTTTTATGGGACCTTGGTAGACTCAACAGCTCAGTTCTCTTAGGGGCTAGGGTTCAGCAGATGTCAACTCAGGAAAAATGAGGTATTCAAATTTCTGACAAACCCTGTTGCAAGCTACCATGTGCTTGTGACAGGGCATAGCATCAAAATCTCATTGGCATCTGGTAAGGCATATCACAACAGGATTTGGCACAAACACACTGCACTTACAATGCAACTAGTCCAGCAGCTTTTAAGGAAGAACTGGATTCCTGCCCAATGTAAAACAAAACCAAACCAAAGGGGCAGCTGAAGCATGATGCCAAGAAGAACCCAATAGAACTACATCTCCATGGATGGTTAAGAGAGGTCTAAGTGAAAAAGCTCCTGTCAACAAAAAAAATCTCCTTTAATGTATCATTATAGAAATCTTGTTTTTCAGACTGAAAAGGAACCCACGTTACCTATGCTTGCAGTTGGTCACGTACTAATATTACCAATTTTTGTACAAAAACACTCATTTTATTCTTCTTTTACAAACAGGGTGCAATTCTCCCCCTCCCCCCCTTCAACTAACTGAGTCTTATTCTCTGTACAGAACAACTTTGCATGAGGTTAAGGTCCAGCTGAATTGCAGTTGGGATTCCTGCTCCCTTTCATTTAGACAGAATTGTCTCAGGAACAGCCCGTAGCACTTGTATGCAGCCAAACCATGGCACAATTTACCCTTTTAAGCCAAGATGCATCAGAAATATCTGTTGGTATAGCATAAATCCAGACAGATGGCTGGTCCTTGCCATTCCTCCAGTTTCTCCACCTGCTATCATAGAACTACGGCACAAAGGCACTGTGTCAGTAGCTGGGGAAGAGATAAGACAGGACCGGTTTGCAGCCTGAGTGCATACAACGGGAGAGACTTGGAGCAGAAACACCCTGCAGCTTCTAACCTTCTTTCAAGATCCAGCGCTCCTAAGAAATACAGGGCTGGAATTCTACAATAGGTGTGTATATGGGCCCTACCTGACAGCCACCTACTTCTGCTGACTGCATCTGCCTGCCATGATAAAAGCTGTGCTTTATCAAGTAGAAGTGTAGTCAGTAAGCAGGGCAACATCCTAAGTGTTACCACCTCTCAGGATTTTATGGTGGTACATGGTGTTCTCTCCTCAAAGCCCCAGCTCCTAGACATCCATATGTTTAAACAAGAATCTCAGTTTTCAGGAGGGAAAAGTGAGCTTCTAGCCTTTGTACATACAAAGGAAAAGCCTGGAAGTGTGACTGTTTAGGGTCAAAAGCTAGAAAGCTAATTAAAAAAACCAACAAATTTCCTTTTCTTTATAAACTCATGATTTCTAAACCAGTTTAATGATTTGTGGGAACCTAATATTAACAGCTCCTCAGTGTTAAAGGGATTAGTTTTGGCCATCCAGCATAATGCTACAAATTTTGCTGCATGAAAGATGGTGCTTATCACGTAATTGTAGCTGAATCTCTGGCAAGCTACAGGTAGACTTGACTTTGTTTCTAAACTCTATTTCTATTGTGTTGAGACACTGAAGAACAGTTCACTCCTGTAGTGCAACCAGTAATATTTCAGATGTTTAAATTAAAGGTGAAGTCTTTGCATTGAATAAATTAATACCAGTTCCTAATGTAACGGTGCGCCTACACATTTATTTATGCACTCTAGTTACTGTGCATTAAGTTTAGTACTTGCATAACCAAGTACTAAATCAATGTGCAGTAACTGTTAATCCTGTGCAGTAGTGCCAGCACATGGGTTTTTACAGACACTAGGCACCAGTTACTGCGCATTGATTTAGTACTTGGTTATGCCTAATGCTACTGCACAGTAGCATATTAGCACAGGTTTTGCCCAGCATGCTACTGCACAGTGTTATTAGGCTGCTGTGCAGTTAGCATTTTGTGCAGACACACCCACTGTTACTGACAGAAAAATGTGAGTAATAGAGCAATTCCTTCCCCTGCTTTTCTCCCAGCCCCTAAACCACCACCCTCTTTGTCAGACTTTTTCTGAATGAAAGTTGTATTACTAGATCTAACTACCAATACTCACTGTACTCAGCAAAAATGCACAGCAGCCTTTCATTTTAAGGATATCTGGGCATGTCTACATGTGCATTAAGGTGCTTTTTCTAAGATGCATTAAAGTTAGTACCTCCAATGTGACATACTAAGGAAATGCACATTATACTTTCTTAATGCACAGTAAAGAATGCACATGGTTTTTAAGTGACACTTAATGCACAGTAGCCTATTTTACTGTGCTTTAGCATAATAGCACAGTTTTTTATGTGACGCTTTAATGCGCAGTAAAATAGGCCATTGTGCATTAAAGTGCACGTGTAAATGCACCCTCTGTGACAGACCAAAAGCATGGATAATCAGTTTATTACTTCCTTTAAGTCAATTATGGATGGAGGGGACAAAGTTAGGTAGAAAATTGCATGAGCTGCAACCCACTGCATCATTCTATCATGAAATTTGGAGGTCCAAAGAGAAAAGGAGCTATGGTTCTGTCCATACATGGGTATCTCAATGTTTGTATAGAGGGCCAAGCCTCCTGTCGGACCACATGACATTCTTTCTCGCTTCTAGTAACACAGGCTATTTAGGAATCATGCTGTCCTGACTTCCTATTCAGTGATAGACCTTCAGAAAAACGTACATGCCACAGATTTTGTCTCAATAGAACGTAGCACTGTTTTTCAACAGGAGTTTCCTTTGCCTGAAACTAGAACTAAGAACTGCCACATGCATCTCACTTCTTCTGACCAACTCCTCTTCCTCTCTAAGCAGGAAACCCTGACTGTGAGGAGTTTACAAGGGTTGGTGGGGTGAGACAGAGAGGGCTTCATGTCCTGAGTGGAGCTAGTTAGGGACTAGAACCTCCATTCTACAGGAAAGTCTGATATTTAAAAAAATTGTTACAAATTGTTATAGAATGGAATGAAAAAGCCAAGTGGAAGTTTTCTGTTGGGGAAAAAAAAGTTCTAAAACATTTCCATTTGGCCCTGTCAAAGAATTTGGTTTCACCTTTACTATTTTATTTATTTGGTTACACTTGCATAATGTGTTCAAATACAATATAATAACAAATAGTCTTACCTAGAGGGATAGAAACAGAAAAAAAATCAGAACATTGTTTTTTTGAAGTTCTTTGTGTGAAACATGTTGCATTTTTCCTAGCAAAAATTACATCAGAGTGGATATAGCCTGAACTTCTTGATAGAGAAGTGTTCAGTGATTTTTTTTTTTGACCAACTATAGTTTTGAACCATCAAAGCAGGGAATCTTGTGTCATTCATCTTATGTGAATTCTATGCCTTAGAATGATCTGGCCAGGTTATCTGAGAAGTCTTGAAGAAGAGGAGGGAAAAAAAACAAGCTCTACATTAAAAATAAGAGTACGCTGCATGTCCACAAGGGTTACACAGAAGTCTCCGCAGCATTTATACTGGAGGCACAAAGCAGTGAAGCCTGCTGAGCAGGAACAAACAGAGACAACAAGTTGCTCTCAATTGTTCATTTCTGTCTTGCTTTCTGAAAGGTATTGTAGCAAGATCTGAAGGCTGAGTATTTGCTCTGGGCTCTTTTTGTCACAGAGGGTGAGAGAGGTTCATGAGGTGTGCCTTGCAGGCCTATATGCTCTCGCTTGAAAAGCTGGTGGAATCAGGATGGGAGGCTGAGACAAAATACTGATTAGTGACAAACTGGTGAAAGACAAAGGAGAAGAAGAGAGGGCAGCAAAGATGCTGTTACTTTTTTTTCTAATCTGCATCTCCAGCTGAAAATGTTTACACCATATGCAAGTACTTAACTATGTTAATTTCTTGCCCTAGACAATACTGCCTGGATTTTAACCAGACGATCTGGCTTCAGACAACATGAGCAGAACACCTTTTACCTCCCTATCCTCATCATCGACAATGGGCGCCCCAGGCTGAGCAGCACCAGCACATTGACTGTTCATGTGTGCAGCTGTGATGATGATGGTGTGGTGATCTCCTGCAATGCAGAGGCCTACATCCTCCCCGTCAGCCTAAGTAGAGGAGCACTTATTGCAATCCTGGCCTGCATCTTTGTCTTGTTAGGTAAAGCCTTCATTCCCTTTCAACACTCACCTTGGCTATTTGAGATACAAGGGTAACACTTAGCCCCATGGGTGGGAAGAGGAATAAAAAAAGAATGCTGGTAAAAATGGCACATAGCAATGTAAAGGAAAAATCTCCTGCCTTCTTTTTATGGAAGCTTCTTCTCTATCAAACTTAGCCTTTCCCCTGACATTATGTCAGGGAAGAGGGATTGTAGGAGCAGAGAGGTCCAGCCATCACACAGTAAAATAGTCACAGTTTGACACATATCCACAATTAAGTGAGAGGAAATAAAAACAAACTTAGGGAATTACAAAATGTGGTTACTTTGGACCTGAATCTGCAGGTTTCCAAGGTTCTTTTGCAAGATGTTGAATACCTGCCTCCTTTTAAAAAAAAAAATCTGTGCTATATACTTAGTGGGTGCATCTACACGTGTACCCGACTACACAGTAACCACTGGTACTGCACAGTCCCAGCACCACATGGGTCATTTCTGACCCTACTGTGCACTACCAATGAGCTACTGCATAGTAGCTCATTGCTACTGCACACTAGTGGTGGCATCATGGTTCATGCCTACCAATGCTACGTCACTGTAGTGATGAGCTACATCACCATAGCTCATCACTACAGCAATACAGCATCTCATGTAGATGTGCCAACTCACACAGTCCCTTCCCTCTTGTTTCTAAGTTCAGCAGTGGAGCTAATATGCTGAGGATCTCTCAGGGTATGGCTAGCAGGCTGCACTGCATCAGAAAGCACCATATAGCATTGCCAACAAAACACACCCTGACAACTCATTCCTGGCACCATGCAAGCTGTATACTGGAAAAATGCCATGTAGGCACTTTTCAGTGCATGCTCAGTGCTGCTGTTTGTCTTAGGCATGCTCACAGATGTGGTGAATACATGATATTTACATGGGGGGGGAGAAGCAGGAGGGCATGTGTTACAGCAGCAATTCCTAACACTGTCCAAAGCAATGCAAACATACACCAAGCCTTCCCTCCATGTATCCCATCCTTCCCCCTGCCCATACCTCCTCCATTCTGCACCAGTTAGTGTAACCAACAGAAGTCAAGGTCCAATTGTTCCTCCATTTGCTACATGTGGTTTTGGATAATAGCCACCTTCTCAGGCATTTCAGAGAGGCAGAGTTTGAGCAGCAATAGACTAAAGGGTAAAACATTTCAAAAGTATCAAAGAGACACATGTGCAAAGAGGCTGAGTCACCTAAGTCCAACTTCTAGACCTTCCAAACCCCCAGTCAATTGCCACCAGCACTGTAGGTGCTTAAAGCCTATAGATCCCTAAATTTCCAACAATGAAGTTTCCCACATGTCAAAAATCCTGCTTTTGGCCATGCTGTGATGCTCAAAAATACCCACAATAGCTCTGAATGAGCAAGCTCTAGTACAGGAAGCAATGTAGCTACATCTGCGTGGCTTTCTGTTCAGGTTAATAATACACCATACTTCTAAGTGAGTCTAATTAAATAGTTCCTAATCCTAGTCAGACTATATCAATTATGCTTTTCTCCATTTAATTTCACCTGTAAATGCCAGTCCAATTAGCATTCTTAGAGCAGGCTGCAAAACCCATCTAAGCAGCAAAGTCGGTTGCCTGTGCTGAGCCATATACTGCCATAGCTAGACTTCTACAAGTATCTGAGTTAATTTAAACTGAACACAGGAATCACTACATTATACTGCTGTGGGTTCCATATAGATGTACCCATAAGCAGTAGCATAACTAGGGAGGTGTCAGTGGGGCACCAACCCCAGGCACTGACTTAGGGGGACCACCAGTGTGGTCCTCTTCATTCCAGAAAGCTTTACCATGGCAGGCACAGCCCTGCAAGGGGATGGGGAGTGAATGGGGAACCAGGAACAGCCCCCCAGGGGGCCATGCTACTGCCTGTTCTTCAGCTCCAGCAGCTTAAGCCCATGCTGCTACAGCAGCAACCATAGCAGAAGCAACTGCTGCCCAAACGAGGAAAGCCCCAACAGGTAAGACTCCACTCCTACTCCATTTTCCCTCCCCCCCTCTACTCTCCAATGGCCAGCATAATCCACCCCCGCTCCGCTCCTCCTGCCGCCCCTCTGCCACAGGTGCTGAAAGAGCTTACATCTGCCCAAAGTATCACTGAAAACCAAGGAGACCTAATGTGAGAAAGGAAGTAGATTAGCCAGACCCAAACTACCAGATTTACTTACGGGTCTGGCTGTCAGCATCCCTCCCCTTCAGAAGTCTGCACTGTTTAAATCTAGGGCTTCAATTTGCCTTGTTATTCATACTCAGGATCCACATTTCTTTCCTTGGCTCCCATCTATAGCCACTTCTGCAAAGCTCAGAAGTCTCTGCCTTCTGGGCACTCACGTCTCCACCATAAATAAGAAGATGAGCGTTTGAGTGACTGTCATAACAAAAGTGATGTATTGAGCTTGTCAGTGTGTTAACCACCCATTTCATTGGCAGGGCAGCACGGCAGGGTCTTTGCACTCTCGCTGCCTTCTTTCCGCATCCCTTTCATCAGAAATGCACGTCTGTTTCTTTTCTCAGTGAAACTGCTCTGACATGGATATGTTTTGGTTGATCCTTGCAGTGCTAGTGCTGCTCATCTTATCTATGAGGCGGCACAGGAAACAGCCATACATCATCAATGAAGAAGAGAACATCCATGAAAATATTGTCAGGTATGATGACGAAGGAGGCGGTGAGGAAGACACAGAGGCCTTTGATATTGCTGCTATGTGGAACCCTAGGGAGGCCCAGGTGGTGGTGAAAAGCAGGCAGGACATGATGCCTGAAATCGAGAGCCTCTCCAGATATGTGCCTCAGACATGCGTGATGGATAGCAACGTCCACAACTATGTGCTGGCCAAGCTGTATGAAGCTGACATGGACCTTTGGGCTCCTCCCTTTGACTCCCTTCAGACGTACATGTTTGAAGGGAATGGCTCAGTAGCAGAGTCACTCAGCTCATTACAGTCAGTCACAACAGACTCAGACCAGAGCTACGACTACCTGACAGACTGGGGACCTCGCTTTAAAAAGTTGGCTGAGATGTATGGTGTCACAGATGGCAGTGGGGCTCTGTGGTAACAAAAGAGGAGCTCAGAGCATTTTCTACACAACACAAACATCCGAATCTAGGTCCATTCTCATCAGATGCTTCCATGGACATGGGTGAGCCCTCCTAAAATAGCAATACGGTGCTTGAATGAGAATGGGGGAGAGGGCTGTAAACAAATCTCTCTCTGGATCAGCTTTACTCAGTTAAATTAAGTTAAATTTTTACACAATGAAGAGCAGAAGGAAGAAAATGTTTTTCTTGGTTTTAGGGCTATGTTTGAAAGCTTCACTCCTGGACTATAAAGACGCTTTTCTCTCTCCTAATTTTTTACATGGCAGCTTACTGAGTTCTCTGTATCTGGGTACAAAGATCCTTAGACTCCAATAGTAATCTTCCACTCACAGGGACTTTGCCAGCAAAATATATATATATATATATATATATATATATATATATATATATATATATATATATATATATATATATATATCTCCCAATAGTTAATTTTTTGTCTTTCCTATTTAAAAATAACATTTGCTAATAAAAAAAAAGAAAACACAAAGCAGAAAATTGAAATTTGAATCCTATCCTGACATGTTCTTCATAATAAATAAGCCTTCTTACTCTGTGGTTGACAGAGTCCTTTTAATCTTTCAGCAACAAGGCTGACTTTTTCTGTTTTCCATCTTGCCCTTGAATTTGGGCTCCCATTTAATGGCTGTTCTGTAAGTCATTGACATTGATACTAATCCATCTCCTATCAAATTAGTGTAAATTTACTTTCCTCCCAGCTGTTTAAAATTGTGGCACTGCTAAACTGCTCAGAATGAAACCAGAAAAATCTGCCTCTTTTGCACTGTAGATGTCTCTTCCACGTGCCAAATGTGAAGATTAGATGCTACCAATTAAAGCCAAATAAAAAAGAAAATATATTTGGTAAATACATGGGTTAGATGGGCTTTCCTAATCTGTGTGAGGTCAATCCAAGGGATGTTTACATACTGTAGATAACCTACTTGAACAAATGCAGTATTATAGACAAATAAATGGATGTAAGAAAATCACATGTATAAGTTTTGTATATTTGTTAATTTTGGTAATAAATATGATGTACTGAATCCAGTACAGTACCTTAGCACCTCTTTTAATAAAAGTTAAACGGAAGGGAAAGTCTGATGTCAATTTATTGATTGCTAAATTTACAACAGTTCAGTAGTGCTGGAGTGATGTTATAGCTTTAATGATCCAGGAAATCTGCGAGGGGCAAGCATTTTTGTGAGTGATGTCTTTTCTTGGAGCAACTGCATGGTTGGGATAGATTTTGACCAGCCTGCAAATGGAATGCATTGCATTCAAAAGCTTGTTTAAGTTTATCTCTATCCTGCAGTTGGTCCAAGAAAAGATGTCACCCACAAAAATCCTTGTCTCTGTACAACAGATAGTGGTTTATCTTTACTTGCCATGGGTAGCAGGCAGAAAGTGATTAATCAGAGCTGCATCCTGGAAGCAAACTGTCAATCTGCATCGAATCATTTGGCCACCCCCCCAAACCTGTTAATGTTAATTAGAGTATTTCATCTCTTTATGAAATACTTAAGGGCAGTTTCAACACACTCTCTAAAATGCACATCCTTATGCTTGGGCAAACATGGGCACAACCCCTGTGTGCTACCATTACTTCAGCTGGATGATGGAACCTACAAACGCAAAACCCATTCCTGTGCAATCTGTCATTCAGACAAAATTTAGTGCACAAGGAGTCTCATGGTAACATGTACAAGAAGTGTGCGCACAAGAAATTGCACAAACAATACATGCTCTGTTGGAGGTTGTCTTCTGAAAGTTGCATCTAAAGTTGCACATCTCCCCATCTTTAACATCTAAAGAGGTGCTCACAAGGGCGTGTGGAAAACACAGGGCACTTCTTAGTCACATCTGTCTTTCACATCCCTGTCTTCATTCTTCTCTCTGTCATGCACAGACACATCACCTTTGTCTTTATTTATCTTAATGTTACACTATAAGCTCTTGAGAGCAACGCATGTATTCTCTCATATACCCCAACAGCTTCCCATGAGATCATGTAAACAACAAAGGAAGTGCTTCAGTGGTTTCTTGACTGTTTGCTCATATCCCGTGACCAATAGCTGGAGGTTACAGCAAAGTAGGTTTAGATTTGATATGCAGAAAAGTTTCTTCACTGTTAGAACTGTGAGACTGTAAACTAGACCGCCTAGGCAAGTTGCGGGTTCGCCATCAGTGGAGGTGTTTGAGATGATTGTACAGCTACTGGTCAGCGATGAAGTAAGTGTAGTTATGCCTAGTATTTTATTATAGGTTTTTCCCATACTTTTGGGCTTTGCATAGTATTAAGAGTAATGTGTTTTTCCCTTTCTGCTGCCAGATGTGTCAGGGTTTCTTTAAATCCTTCCTTAGAGGCATCAGGTGTTGGCTGAAGCCAAAGCTAGGGATTTTGACTGAGGTGTGCCAGTGCTCCCTCTGGGACTTAAACCTGGAGGCTCCTGGTTAAAGGGTCTTGCCTCTCTGCTCAGGCTCAGATTACCATATTGGGGGTCAGGAAATAATTTTATCCCATGATCAGATTGGTATGGACTGTGGGGGGGG